CGAAGGTCAGTGAAGGGAACAGGAGACGAGGGACGAGCACGAGGGGAGCGACGAGAGGCCCAAGTCTGAGAAGGAGGAGGAGACAACGAAGACTGAGAACGAGGGAAAACAGCGGGAGAGGGGTCAGGAGGAGGAAGCGGAGGACCAGAGACGGGAGGAGAGGGGGAGGAGGAAGGAGAGGGAGACGGGAGACCAAGGGTCCGAAGACCCGAGACAGGAGGAGGAGACGGCAGCAGCTGCTGCTGCTGCTGCTGCGGCTGCTGCTGCTCCAGCGGCTGCTGCCCCTGCTGCTGCTCCTGCTGCTGCTCCTGCTGCTGTCGCTCCTGCTCCTCGAGCCGCTGCAACTCTCTCTCCTCTCTCTCCAACTCCAGCTGCTCCTCACGAGCACGGCGAACACGAGCCTGGAACCTGGTCGGGTAGGGGTGGGGGGAAGGAGTAGTGTCCGGGGCAGCGGCAGCCCCAGAGTCGACCTCCGAAGCACCAAGCACACCACCCCCAGAGGCAGCACCAACACCAGCTCCAGACCCAGGCTCTCCAGAAACCGAAGGGACACCCTCACCCCCAGACGCAGCACCCCCAGACTCCGCACCAGCACCCCCAGACTCCGCACGACCAGTACCAGCCCCCGGAAGACAAGAGTCCTCTGCAACCCGCGGCTCAGCTCCAACTCCAGCACCCCCAGAACCAGAGACCTGTACAGGGACAGTCGCAGGACCAACCTCCCGAGAGGGAGCACCTGCAGGAGGCGGCGAGGAAGACTGTGGGGAGGGAGGCTGTACAGGGGGGGCTACCGAAGGGGGAGGGCTAGCCTGAGACACACCAGACGGGGCTGGACCAGGGGGGGGAGGCTGTACCGGGGGAGCAGGCGGGGGAGCGGCGGTCAGGAAGAGAGGGGGGGGAGGGACCGGGAGACCTCGACTGGGGTACCTGACGTAGTAGGGGGTGGACTCCTCGAAACGGACGTCACGGGAGTCAAAGAACCGGTGAGAGGGAGGGTGGTAAAAGGTGAAGTCAGAGGAGTCCTCAGGGAAACCAAGGAAGACACAAGGAACGGCGCGAGGCGAGAGCTTGTCCGCGGAGGTGTCGCGGACAAGAGCCAAGCACCCCCAGACACGAAACCTCGACGCGACACCAGGGGACCCTGTCCAAAGACTGGTCGGTGAAGCCTCCGGCCGAGAGACGCGTGGCCAGAGGTTCAGCTGGTGCGCGGCGTACCTGACCGCGTATGGCCACAGGAAATGGGGGGCACGGGCGTGAGTCAAGGAGGTGCGGGCAATCTCCATGACCAGGCCTATGCGACGCTCAGCAACCCCATTCTGCTGTGGGGACTCCGGAAGCGTCCAGGACTGACGAATGCCCTGTTCGCGACAGAATCCAGCGAGAATGCCGGAGCGAAACTCGCCCCCGCGGTCGGAGTGGAGACAGCTGACACGACGACCACGAGTGTCCTGGGTGGTAAGCAACCACTTGATCAGCGTAGAAGTCACCTCAGACTTCCTCGCCAGGGGGAACACTGTGGTGTAGCGGGAGTAGTCGTCAACGACCACCAAAAAGAAACGCTCACGCTCAGGGCCAGGGCGAGGAGAGGGGCCCCAGACGTCCAAGTGCAGCGTCTCAAAAGGCTCGGTGGCCGGACGAAGGGAGGAGGAGTGAGGGGTGGCGCGCAGCCTACCCTCGACGCAAGGACCGCACGGTGGTGCAAGGGACGGCGGCAGCGACGGCAAGACACGCGGGAGACCTAAGACAAGACGCTGACGAGACATAGCGCGAAGACGAGGAGGAGAAGGGTGCCCCAACCGGTGGTGCCACAAAACGGTGGGGTGGGCAAGCGACCGACAGGAGCACGACGCAGCGACCGGACTAGACGGAGGAACCTGACAAGACACAGCTACCTGGGGGGACGGAGCAACCTGGTGAGACGCGAGGACTCGAACGGGGGGCAAAACAGGGGCCGGGGGCAGGAGGGGCGGCTGTGGCTGCGGCTGCGGCTGCGGCTGCTGCTGCTGCTGCTGCGGCTGCTGCTGCTGCTGCAGTCGCTGCTGAGCGCGCGGGCCAGTGTGAAGAGTGTAGAGACCGGAGCCCGGCTCAGCAGCAAAAGTGGCGAGGGGCTGGTAAGAGTCCCCGTCAACACACACCGCAGTCTCTCCAGAAGGCTCAAACCACACACCCACGTGCTGACTCACGAGGGGTCGCACGCCCACCAAGTTCCGGGAGAACGAGGGGACATGAAACCCAGTGAGAGACCCAGAAGGAGCAGCCGGACACGGCAAGGTGGTAGTGTGACGCGCGGTGACTGGTCCCGAAGTGGGATCAGCCAGCGCCACAGAAACAGGCGCAGGAAGAGGCGTAAGTGTCGTGCTGTCACGAAAGAAGCAGTGAGAGGCTCCAGAGTCCAGCGTGAACGACAGCGAACCGTCCTCTGAGGTAGCCGCTGGACTAGAGTCTACACAAGAACCTACACTAGCAACAGGCAACTGAGCAAGGCTAGCACCTAAGCTAACAACACCAGAGTAAACAGAGTCAGAAACACTAGAGTCAACAACAGCATACATAGCATGGGGATTACCAATCAGATCAACTAACTGCTCAGCAGACATGCCCCACAGAGCGGAGCCGTAACGCTGAACAAGAGGCAGCCAGTCAGGGGCAGGAGCACCAACCCCGTAGACCAAACGAACCGTGTCAGTGAGCTGAGCAAAGCACTGACCAGGGGGGTGAAACCGGCCACAAGGGTGGCCACGACGAGTGCCTGTCAGAACCTGGTAGGTGCAGGGAGTGTAAACAGCACCGCGCTGGGTCTGACGCAGCCCCGACCCTGGAGCCAGCTGCTGCCGCTGCTGCTGCTGAGGCTGCTGGGAGGAGAGGGGCTGCTGGTGCTGCAGAAGCTGCTGCTGACGCTGAGCCTGGTACCACGCCGCTGCTCCACCAACCGGGGCAGGAAGTACAGGAGGCGACTGACGAACTCGGGCGTCGCCACCACCAGCAGGCGCAGTGGAGTCACCAGTCACTGCACGAGGCGCCTCTCCAGGCCCTGAACCTCCACCGCCGCCAGGCGCAACGCCACCTCCACTACCTCCGCCTCCACCTCCACTACCACCACCAGAACCGCCTTTCTTGCCACTCCTACCGCGGGACCGCGACGCAGTCGTAACAGCAGCTGCAGTCGCGTCAGTAGCGGCAGTGGCAAGTGAGGCAGTAAAGGTGGGTAACTGCGGGACTGTGCACCCGTGGAAGAGTGGGGGGGGCACAGCACCAGAGGCAGCGGCTACCGAGCGAAGGTTGCTCTCGACGTCCTTGAGTGCAGACTCAAGGACCTCGACGGTGAGCTCACTAGGGTGCTTCAGCAGAAGCGCGTCGCGAACGGAGGCAAGGCGGTCAGGGAGGCTAGTGGCGATGAAATAGATAGTAATCGCCATAGGGGGAGGAAGCAGTGCAAGCTGTGCCTCAGTGCAAGCAGCGCGGTAACTAGCGTCGAGCGAGCGGAGGTGAGCGATCAAGTCAGCAGAGCGCTCAAAAGACGCCAGGTCAGGAAACAGGAACGGGAGGAACAGGCGGCCAAGAGAGACAGCAGCGGGAGTAGAGTAGCGGGCCTTAATCGCAGTGAGGTACGCAGCAGCGGTGCGAACCTGAGTGAAGTGAACCTCCTCAGACTCAGGGAGGAGGCTGCTGAGCGCGATGCAGGCCGCAGCGTCACGTGACGTCCAAGCCGTCTGGTCAGCTCGCTGAGTGGCAAAGCGGGCTCTAGCGGCGTCGTCAGGGGCAGGTCCTAAAGGCGTAGGGTCGGGGGGCGCAGGTAGGGCACCAGTAGCGTGCGCCCAGAGGGTCTCGCTGGCCTGGACCTGACTCTCTAACAGACGGCGAGCACGAAGAAGCCAGACGGAAAAATCAAGAGGTCTACCGTCAGCGTCGAAACGAAGGACGCGCTGAGTCGCCATAGTGAAAACGAACGCGAACGGAGAGGGAGGGGACAGCAGTAGGTGAGAGGCAAATTAGGGGGAACGGGCAGGAAGAGCGGGCAAGAGCGGGCGGGTAGGTAAGGTGTGGCGGGCGTCTAGGGTAGGAGCGCGCGGGCTAGGGCAGGAGCGCGCGGGCGGGTAGGGCAAAGGCGCCGGGCCAGGGCGACGGGCTGGGGCGCGGGCCTGGGCGACGGGCTAGGGCGCGAGCAGGGGGAACCGCGGGTCGACAGGCAGCGGGGGGAAGCGCGGGTCGACGGGCAGCGGGGGGAAGCGCGGGTCGACGGGCAGCGGGGGGAAGCGCGGGTCGACGGGCAGCGGGGGGAAGCGCGGGTCGACGGGCAGCGGGGGGAAGCACGAGCGGTAACGAACGAACGGGACTAGATCGGGCCGGCACTAGGCTCGGGCAAGACGGGCGAAACGAGAGCTAGGATCAGGCTCGGGTGGTACGATCGGAGAACGGAGAAACGGGATCCCACAGGATCCTAACCTAACTGATACCATGTCAAAATGAGAAATGGATGATGCATTGATGTTGGTTGGGGTACATATAGCTAACCCTAAGTTTTGTACCCCCTAAGACAAACCTCACTATAGGCTACAACATTTGACAGCCGCGCCACTGGCCATTTCGTCCGTGACGATTTCGCCACAGACGCGCGCCACTGGCGCCAGTGGCAATTTCGCCACACACGCGCGCCAGTGGCGCAAGTGGCGATTTCGCCACAAACGCGCCAGTGGCGCAAGTGGCGATTTCGCTCTATACGCGCGCCAGTGGCGCGAGTGGCGATTTCGCCAGACACGCGCGCCACTGGCGCAAGTGACTATTTCGCCAAAATCTTACGCCACTGGCGCACGTGGCAATTTCGTCACTGATGCGCCAGTGGCCGTTGCTTCATGCGCAACTCTTTCTCGGTTGTGCGCACGCCAGGTGCATCGCGGGCGCGATGCTGTACCCTCCGCAGTTAACGCGCATAGCAGCTACTAAGTTACGTTGCTGTTGCTGCACTTGTCCTAGCGTTGTCTCCGTAGTAATTAGGAATGAGAATGAGTGAGTAGAAACTAGGAATGGGTGAGAGGAGAGGTGGTTGGACGAGAATGAAGCGGAACTGTAAAGTTCCGAAATGAAGACGTGGGTGGAGGCCAAATGGCCTCCAACCCTCGTTATGTACTCGGAAATTTGCATTTGCAGTTGCCTTGCTTCACTACAGTCAGCTGCGCTTTCAAAATAATCATTTTTAGAAAGTGTTTCACACTTTCAAAAAATTTCATATCAAATAAGAGGTACATGTACTCTCGAAAGTATCAGTGAAGATTGTCGTGATAAAAAACACTGGGAGGGGACAAGAATTAGCAGCACTCATATTTTGATAATCTTTGTGGGTAAAATGCATGCAATGTTATAGAATTGGTTTGCACAAAAACCCCAGGCCTCACAGGTTCTAGTGCACATCAGAACTCCCCAGAGGATGCACGTAGTTGTCCTCCCCAACTCAAACATCTTTTAGCGGATGACGAGTTCTTCATTGGACAGTGAAGTGTTACGGTCTCGATATTCTTCTGGCACGACTGAGTTTCGCGAGGGCAAAGGGATTTCAAACCCTGGGACACGAGGAAACGTGGGCCGTCATGGGATGGCGCGACCGTTGCGTGCCTGTCAGAAGTTGGCGGAATCCGTTTGTTTCAAATGTGTCAGATCAGGGTGCCTGCTGCCGCCGCGGGGTGGTGCTTCCTTCTCCCCTTGTGGTGGACCGTGGCTTGTGGGGGTTCGCATGTTCTGACATCTTCTTCTCTGATGCCTTAGAAATTCGTCCATTGACACTCAACAATTTTGCTTTCTGCTTAGACCATTACAGCCTGTGGACGTGGAATGACTTAGTCTGTCATCGTTTTCACTTTGCACTTCTATCCGCCATGGCAACCAAACCTGAACCAAGCCGTGCTGAAGCAAACCCTTCACGAAACCATGTCAGAACATCATCTCCTCTGGTGACGAAAACTCCAGCGCAGTCCCCCTTGCTATCTAGGAAGTCACCTCTACGATCTGCGAACGGAGTGAAACCTAGGACGCTGTTTGCTAAAGGCCAAGATGACAAGAATTCTCAAAGCCAAAACCATGCGTCGAACCCTCTAAAGCTGGAAACAGATCGTTTGGAGAATGAACTGAAAGGTAGGTTTGCTACAGGACGCTTTTTTCGTTATTAACGAAGGACGCATGCATCCGTCGAGTATGCTGACTAACAGCTGTATCTCATGCTATCAGTTAAGAGTTTGGAGCTTGAGAAGATCGCGGCAGAGGCGAAAGGCTTGAAGCTCTTAAATAAGTCGATGGAAAAGGCTGTGCAAGGGGTAAGTTGTTTTCGTTGATGTCGCGAGCTGCCTCACGGCGATTATGCACTAACTGATTGCGTTTTTCCTTCTCAGCTCACCGACGAGGTTGCAAAATTAAAGCTGAAGTTAGAAACTGCTGAACAGCAGTGCGACGCAAAGGTACGAAATGGCTTATTGCCTTTTTTGGTAGCGCCAGATTTTTTTTTTATTAACCCTTATTGCTTTTGTCTGGACTATGTGCTGCAGACCCTTGAGCTGAAGAAGGCCAACGATTTGCGTAAAGCTTCTCAGGCCGCACAACAGGCAGCTGAAGCCACAGTTAGACGCCTGCAAGCAGCTCAAAAAGGGAAGCAGGGTCCAGCGTTGGACGAAGTGATTGCTGCACTGGAGGCTGAGTTAAAGTTGTCGCAGAAAGAGGTGAGGAAGCCGAGCGGTTACGAAAGAACAATTTACGTTATCGGTTTTGATTACAAATTTCCATGCTGAACAGGTTTCAAGACTGCAAGAGGACAACAGGGCTCAGGATCGTCTCATGCGCACTAAAGAAGTTGCTCTTCTGGACGCTGAGAAGGCTGTGGAGGCTGCAAATGCAAAAGCGGCTCAAGTGGATGAGTGTATGAATAAGATTGCCGAGCTGACTCGCCAGCTTAACGCACAGCAGGTTAGAATCTTTTTACGTGGATTTGTATCACTTGCTTTTCGTTTTAAGACCTCAGTTGATAACACAGCGTATATGCAGGATGAGAACAAGACGCTTGACCGCATGTACAAGCAGAAGGTGGACGACGTGAAGAAGCTTACATCGCAAGTTGAATCTTTGAATGAAGCGGTGACAGCTGCACAGAGCTATACGAGCGTCATCAAGGACTACCAGCGACAACTTCAGGAGTTACAGGCCACCCACAAGATCACCCTGGACGAGCTGGCTCGTGCGAAGATTGCAGCAACCCGCGTTGCCTCTGCTGTTGCTAACGAATGGAAGGATGATAACGACAAGGTTATTCCTGTAAAGCAGTGGCTCGAGGAGCGGCGTGTTCTGGTGGTAAGTGTTTAGAGGGTGCTCATTTGCTTTGAACAACCGACTGATTATTGACGCCCAACGAATGATCGGAATGATTATGCAGGGAGAGGCGGAAAAGCTAAGGGAAAAGTTGGCACACGCTGAACGTGCAACGAAGTACGAAGCACAGATGAAGGTGTGTATGATTAGTTTGAGGTCTTGTCGTTGTCCTCCTGTTCGTCCTTCTGATGTATTTCTGGTTTGATTGGCACAGGAAAAGGCACAGACTAGACTCAAAGTTTTGGAAGAGTGCTTCAAGGTTGGTACGCCTCTAAGGTCTTCAATAACCGGCAGGATCTCACCTGGCAGGCTCTCCCTCTCATCCTCAACCTTGAAGCTCCCCAAGCAAGTTTTCCCCCTTGGGTCCGACCCTGAACGCATGAGCACCACTTCCTCGGACAACGAGCCGATTCCAGAGATTGACTACCAGCCAAGCCCTAAGAGAGCTGGGGAAGATGACAAGGTCCCTGGTGCACTGTACGATGTAATGCAGCGGGAGGTGGTTGTGTTGAGGAAGACCGTCTCTGAAAGGGAACAGAGCCTCAAGGACAAAGACGATGCAATTGAGGTAAGCACACTTGCCTGATTGGATTTGTAGCCACCAGTTTATTTCTCTGACAGCCATTGTTTATGGTGCAGATGCTGTCGAAGAAGGTCGAGACACTGACGAAGGCTATGGATGTGGAGACCAAGAAAGCACGACGAGAGATTACTATGCTTGAGAAGGAGCTTTCAGTCTTCAAGAGTGAACCGCTTGGTCGAACACCTGGACGCCGCATATCAGTCACGGGTGTCCGCCAGCCTTTAGTCTCGTCAACATCAGCAAGGTGAAAGGAGCAGTTCGGCTGCAGTGCGGTATCATCATAGCCTTACCAAGTGTGTAACTCGTGTGTAACTCCAGTATCATGCGGCGTATCTACCTATCCAGCCAGCTCTAGTTTTGTTGAAGCTGACCCAGTAGAGGGAATAAGGGTTTTTATTTGGCTTGGTCTGCTGCTAAGCTCAGGTGCACCAGCCAGCCTTCACCCATATGGGCAGTAGTAGTAGCTAACTTCTGTATTAACATAGGTCATCATTGATCGTAGACTATTGTCGCAACCAAGTGAAGCTGGTCCTATTTCATCTAATTACCACCCAATCTGAAAGATGTCACACTGACGATTTGAACTTCACGGGATGCTGTATGCGTTGCTGTTTTGAACCACCAGAAATATTTGGGTTGTATTGTATTCTGCACAAATTTATGAACAGGCTGCCTACAGTCGTGGACCCCAAAACGTCGTGCACCCTGACGCTCGCCCGCCTCGCCTTCCGCAGCCCTAGTTGCTTCAACGACGAAGTATTCTCTCGCAAAAGCCTCTTCCAGCCGCATTTCAACACGTGCACACCTCACCTTCTCATACCTATCCCCATCGCACGTGCGCCACCTGCGTTTCGCAAACAAATAGGCACCATGGTTCAGAAGGGGCAGCAGTTTAAAGGCATAAAGAAGAAAGCCGTTCCACCGAACCGGCATGGGAAGGCGATTAAAGTTCGAAAAGGTTAGCGTTCACTTTCCCCGTTCGCTTTCCTGCCTTCACCCGCTTTTATCCGTAACGGTTAGGTCCTCCGCCCTGTTTTCAACCAACGTTGTGACGTGGATGTTGCCCGTCCACAATCTCTTCGAGTATACTCATATTTCTCATCTGTGTCTGCTCATGTGAAAACCAGGGAGGGTTGTAAAGGCGACAAAGAAAAGCACCTCCGAACTTGACGCCAGCAAGGTACACTTTCCCAGCCGAGTCACGACTCTTTGTGAAAATACAAATTAGGGATGCTAAAGGAATGCGTGAGAGAGCCAGCTTGCATAGTGCCTCCTGACCCGCTTGTCTTCCTCCGCGTTAGTCCACTCCCTTACCCGTCTTATCTCTCTGTCGGCAAACACCCATGCCACGGCGCTCTCGTGTCCACAGGAAGTAACTAAGTTCATTAACGCGGCGAACGAGTCTCGTGCAGCAGCAGTGGCGGCGAGAGATGGAGCGCCGTTGACGCTAGTCAAAGCCCCGCCTCCGGATCCGGCAGACGCGGAGGGCAAGAAAGGAGCGAACAAGGGGAAGGTGCTTATGGGGAAGGTGAAACCGGCGGGAAAGAAGAAGTAAATGATAATGTCGAGGATAGCAGAAAAGGGGTAGGAGAGAGGGGTTGGGGAGAGGGGGTAGGGGAGAGGGGGTAGGGGAGAGGGGGTACAGGATCGGGTCAAAGAAGAGCGGAGATGGGATAGGGGACAGGGGTTAGGGAGAGGGGATAGGGGATATGGATAGGTGGTCTAGGGTAGGTGATGGTTGATCACGTTGTGTTAGGTAGGAAGGGAGTGTGGCGTGGTGGTGTGTAGTGGGGTGTGCAGTAGAGTGTACGGTAGGAGCGGGATGCGGGTGTCGAGCCGTTGAAGAAAGAGAAGAGGAGGACTTATGGTACCGGTAATGGGATGCAGAGGGAGGACCGGGGGGGAGGAGGTGTGCGAGTTCATGGTAAGCAGCCGAAAGGTGCTGTACAGTTGCTGTGAAGTGCAGAGGGGATAATTGGGAGAATGAATGGGAGAGGGGGCTGTGCTCTGACTCAGCACACGGTGCTCTGACTCAGCACAGGGTGTTTTGACTCAGCACAGGGTGTTTTGACTCAGCACAAGGTGTTCTGACTCAGCACAAGGCGTTCTCAGCCTGGATCCTTCTTTCCCAGCATTCCCTTTCTTCCACCATGGTTTCCACATTGTAGAAGCGCACTCTAGCCTCGCCTTGGTGCTACTCCAGCACTCAGGCTTGCATGGGGAGAAGACAGGCGGTGTAAGGGAAGGGAGGTGGACGGGAATGGAGGTTGTGCAGCTGATCTGATCTGATATGGTACTAGCTGACCTCAGCCAGGCCTGCTGACTTGCTCACACTGGCAATGCCGTGGCTAAAGGTGCAGTTCCCACCTCAGCATTTGGCTTGGGGTCAGATTTTGGGGAAGGGTATGTTGTGCGGTGTGGAATAGGTGGGTGGTGCATGTTACAGACATTTAGAAGGGGGCATTTGGGTGCTTGTCCCACCCTGTTACGGTGTGTCTTCTCTTGGTATGAAATACTAAAAATGTCCAACATTGCTGTTAAAAATGTATCTTTCTGTACATTGTCAGTTTGATCTATACATGCTGCTGGGACTCACAAAACACTCACATAACACAGGACGGGAGGATTGCGTCACAAACAACTGGACACGCCTGCTCTGCATGTGTGCAATATTGTTTTCAACAAAACATCGGCCTCACACAAGCCACAACGCGTCGGTGCTTCACTGCTTCAGAAGGGCACAGGCAGCGGTGCATACACAAGTACACTGAGCACAAGCGCTGCTGCGCCCAGGATCTTGGCCTGATCAGACGGCGGGGTGATTTCATTTGCCTGTGGAGTGACAGGTCCGCGCTGCAGGAAGAGGATAAGCACCACCCAGAAGAGTGCCACGTCGTTGAATATGCCCGTGATGCCCAGGAGGATGAGGGATGCGAGGGACAGACGCGACGCCCACTGTTGGAGTGGAAGGAAGGAGGGGATGAAGGATCGGGGGTGAGGGAGGAAGGGGGCTTTTGAGATGCCTCACAAGGATGAGCACCCCCAGAAGAGTGCCACGTCATTGAATATGCCCGTGATGCCCAGGAGAATAAGGGATGCTAGGGACAGGTGTGAAGCCCACTGTTGGAGTGGGATAGAGGGGAGGGATAGTGAGGGTGAGGTGAGGTGTGCGTGATAAGGAGAATGGAGTGAATGGGAGACATGATTTGAAAGGTCCTGTGAATGGTTCTTTGTGGTAGTAGTGTGGGGTATAATTAACTGTTCCTCAGCTTGCGTCAGCCACACGCTGAGCACACAATGAGTGAAGCGAATGCTAAGAAACGCAACACAACACAAACACACCTTTTCAACAGCGAAGGTGAACACAGGTGAGCAGAGTTGAGCAGAGGTGACCACAGGTGAGCAGAGGTGAGCAGAGGTGACCACAGGTGAGCAGAGGTGAGCACAGGTGACCACAGGTGAGCAGAGGTGAGCAGAGGTGAACAACAACCATCAGAAACATAGTACATGTGATCCTCACGCAGACGCAGAGAAGCCAGTGCGCAGTGCTGCTGCAGGCAGGGCACAGGCGGTCCCAGCAGACAACAGATGACGAATGACAAGGCAAGGGACGACAGGCGACAGACTACAGACGACAGGCAACACATGGCGGCAGCAGCGCACTCACCTTCCTGCCAAACAGCCCCATGGCAATTCGGCCCCCATCCAGCTCGCCCGCAGGGATGCAGTTAATGGCGTTCACCAGCAGCGCAGCCCACGCCGCGAGGGTTACGGGGGACAGAGTCAGCGACGCCCCCTCTGTCAGCTGCGGCCCCAGAAGTAGCTTGGCTGGACGGGAGAAAGGTGTGGGGGGAGGAAGAGTGAGAGTTAAGCAGGGGGGAAACTAGGAGCCCATGCAGCCAGGGTCACGAAAGACAGGGCCAATAACGCCCCCTCTGTCAGCTGCAGACCCAGAAGCAGCTTGGCTGGCTGGACAGGGAGAACGGGGGATCATGGGGGCGGGGGAGAATGGGGAGTCGGGACGAAGAGCGGCGAGGGATTTGACATTGCCTGGATGGCTAGATAGCTGATCCGAGCAAGTCGTCTCGTTCTGACCTGGCAGCTCAAAGCACCAATCGCAAGGAGGTGCGTGCTCCAGACTCAATGATCTGAAAACATCGCCAGGAACTGACTGGCTAATGAAGCAAGTGAGTGAAATTGAGTTATGTGAGTCAGTGAGAGAGGTGAGGAATCCAGGGAATCTGAGAGTGTCTCAAGCTACCCTGCAAGGCGCCCACTCACCCAGCCCGCCCACAACAATCGAATCATGGAATGCCGCGGCGTTGACCGAGACACCGTCCTCTGGGCAGCAGCAGAAGCGCCACCAGCGACGCGTTTTGAGACACCTCATCCTCGTAACTCAGCCACTCTACTCTGCATTTTTTTTGCAAAGACACCCACTCACCCAGCCCGCCCACGAGAACCGAGTCATGGAATGCAGCGGCATTGACCGAGACACCGTCCTCTGGGCGCAGCAGCAGCAGCGAGAGCAGCAGCACTGCCAGGGACGCTGCCATGCCTGCCAGAGGGCCCGGGGCTGCCACTGAGATGAGGTCACTGCGGCTCTTGACAGTGGACGTGATGCGCGTTATTGCTCCAAAGCTGCCCAGCTGAGGCGGGGAAGAGAATGGGGACAGGGGATGGAGAAGTGGGGAAGAAAGAGGAAAAGAGAGGGATAGGGGGAGACGGTCTGGGTGGGAAACGAGGAAAGGCTTGATTGGGGTGCGGAAGGTGGTGAGTGAGGGTGGAAAGGGATTGCACTGAGCGACAGAGGGCCCGGGGCTGCCACTGAGATGAGATCGCTGCGGCTCTTGACGGTTGATGTGATGCGCGTTATTGCTCCAAAGCTGCCCAGCTCGGGGAGGTGGTGGAGGGGGGACAGGAGGAAGTGCAACGAGGACGGGGGAAGGCGCCGGGGTTCAGCGAAGGTTGGGGAGAGATAGGGGGAGATGTGGAGGGCTCTCAATCAGGGTGCGAAGGGTGGTGAGTGTGAGCGACAGAGGGCCCCACGCTGCCACTGAGATGACGCTCTTGACGGTGGATGTGATGCGCGTCACTGCTCCAAAGCTGCCTAGCTCGTGAGGGGTGAAGGGGATGGGGGGGTGGGACAAGAGCGAGGATGGGGGAAGGTGGTGGGATGGGGATGAAGGAGGGTGGGGGAAGATAGTGGGAACAGGGTGAGATATGGGAGATAAGGAGGGCTTGATTGGGTAGGGAGAAAGGAGGAGCACTGAGACAGAGGTCCCGGGGCGGCCACTGAGACGAGGTCACTGCGGCCGTTGACATGAGCAGTGGACATGATGCGCGTCACTGCTCCAAAGCTGCCCAGCTGAGGGGGGGAGTGAGGGAAGGGGTGGAAAGGGAGGGGGAGGAGGAGTGGGGAAGGTGGTAATGTGACGTGTTTTAGGGATCCAAGCCGCCCAGGTGGGAACGAGGGCATGGTGAACAGGGGAGAACTGGAAAGGAGGGAAGCACAGTAGGCAATGGGAATGGCAGGAGGGGGAGAAGAGGGAGGGAGAGAGGAAGGGAGGAGGGCACAACGCAGAGGTCAGCAGCAGGAGGACATAGCAGGGGACAAGAGAAGAAGGACAGACGGGACTGGTAGGCAGGGTGTATCAAAAGTAACCATCGCACTTGGTGTGCCCACCTTGTGTCGTGCACGGCTTGACGTTCACCCACCCATCCCTTCCCTTCCCTACCCTTCCCTTTCGTACCTGGAAGGACGGCACGAAATAAGGGACGCTGAGGGAGATGCCGAGCTGCTTGGCCGGGATGGCATGGCCTGCCTCGTGCACGGCCATGAGCAGCACAAACACCATCGCTGGTGGTAGCCCCTCCAGTAGCGGCCCTGCTAGGTACTCCATTGACGGACTGGGCGGGTGGAGGGAGGAGAGGGAGGGAGAGGGAGGGAGGGAGGGAGGGAGGGAGGGAGGAGGGAGGGAGGGAAAGAGGAGGGAGGGAGGGAAAGAGGGGAGGAAGCGAGAGGGGAGCACGGAAATGAATAAGCGAAATGATTAAGCCCAGAGAGAGACAAGTGGGAGATTCTTGGAGAAATTGTTGCTCCCGGCACTTTAGAGGTGCTGACCTGACCGTAACAAGTTTCAAGGGGTCGTTTGGAGACGTCTCAAGCACTTAATTCTATCACGAATTTTTTTTCTCTTCCAGCATTTTAGAGGTGCTGGCCATCGTAACAAGTTCCAAGGGTGCGTGGTGGCGTGATGTGGCGTGACGTGACGTGACGTGACGTGACGTGGCATGGCGTGACGTGACGTGACGTGGAGAAACTCACATGAACCCGAATTCAGGCGAAGGGCTGTAGGCGAGCAGCACAGTGAAGAGCGACACTGCCCCGAACGCGCCTGCTGCTAGCCACTCCGGTACAGCTGGCCATTCAGAGGACGGTTGTTGCGATGCGAGAGAGAGAGTTGATGTAGAGGACGGAGGGACCGGGAAGATGGGCAAAAATGTGGAAGGACGGGAGAAGAGAAAAGAGGGGAGGAAGTATAAGAAAAGAGGAGCAAGGAAAGGGGGATTGGGAGCGCAAGAGTGGTGCGAGGAACGAGATAGGTGTGCATATGTACAGGGCTCGTCTCGCTTGTGTCGTAAGGAAGCAATGACAGATTATAAGCTTCCTACCCCGCTCTCTTCTGTGCCAAAATCCCAGTCTCTCCTCGCTCTCCTTCTCGCTCTCCTGCCTCCGCACACTCCCCCTCGCTCTCTTCCCCTCACTCTTTCAACCCTCCAACCTCCCCCCTGAGCCCCCGAGCGAGAGCATACGCGCAGGCAGAGGATCGAGGCTGGAGCGGGGGACCACAACGGCTTTTGAGGCGCCTCAGAAACTAAAGCGATTTATGAGGCGCCTAAAAGAGAGAGAGCATACGCGCGGGCAGAGGGTCGAGGCTGGAGCTGGGCACCACGACGGCCACGGGTCGTTCGTCCTGGTCCGTGGACTCGAGCAGGAACAGCACGTACTGATCGCCGTACACCTCCTGCATCGGTGTTGGGGGATACAGGCCCGTAATACGGGAGTAGTGGGGAAGGGGTTGGTATTCTGAGTCGACTCACAACACAGATAGATTTGAGCAGGAACAGCATGTACTGCTCGCCGTACACCTCCTGCACCTCCGAGGGAAGGGAATGGAGGGGGGAGGGTCAAACGACTTTCTCACTGCTCTCTGCCGTACACCTTCTGCTCCCCATTCCCCTGCCCATGTCCCCCATCCGCCTCGCATCCTCTTCAGGTGCGCCTGGAGCTACGAGTGGGGCGCAACGACTCGCGGGACGCGGGGGTCGCGGAGGAGTGACGATCGGCGTGTGCCTCCTCCACTGGGCTGCGCTCACACTTCCTCACGTCCACCACCCGCCCCCCCCTTCACCCACCCGCTTCTCACTGTTCCCCTCCCTCCTTCCCCCCCCCCCCCCCCCCCCCCCCCATGGTGGGAAGGGAATGGAGGGGTGTGAGGGAAGGGAATGAAAGGTGGGGTTGGGAATATCTTGAGTCGACTGAAAATACACGTGGACTCGAGCGTAAACAGCATGTACTGATCGCCGTACACTTCCTACCAGGTGGGTAGGTGGAGGCGGGGGAGGGTGGGTGTGGTGTGGTGTGGTGTGGTGTGGTGTGGTGTGGTGTGGTGTGGTGGGGTGTAAAGGGTGTGGGAAGGGTGGATGAATCAGTGGGAAGATTGGGTTGTCCCTACTCCCTTCTCATCTCCAGCCAACCCCATTCTAATCTTCCCCTCATCATCTTCTCCTAACCCCCTCCCCCGTCATCCTCTCCCCCCCCTACCTTGAGTCTGGCGGTCAGCTTTGTGTAAGCGCGCTCGGAGTCCCCCCTTAGGTTCCCGCGGAACAACACTCCGCCCTGACCGCGGCAAGGGGGAGACGGGAAACGGGGAAAACACGCGGGGGATTGGGATTTGACAGGCGGAGGGCAGGAGGAGGAGGAGGTGGGAATGCTTGGTGGGTAGAAGGAGGGCGAATAGAAGCTGTATGTGGAGAGAAGGCGACTGGGAAGACATGGTAGTTAGGCATGGATGGATAATGGATGGGTTGATGGAAGGTTGGATGGATGTATGCGCATGGAAAGGCGCATAACCGCTCACGCACAATTCACCCCGTAAGGTTCTTCTTCTCTTACGCCTCACCCCGTACGCTCATCCCCGCACCCCTCGTACGCAGCAGCTCGCACCACCCCTCCTCACCTCGTACGGCTCCAGGCCCGCGACGAAGAAGGTATCGAAGCCGGCTAATGAGGCGCCTCGAAACCAGACTCATCCTTGCACCCCTCGTACGCCTCACCCCGTACGCTCATCCCCGCACCCCTCGTACGCCTCACCTCGTACGGCTCGAGGTCCGTGACGAAGAAGGTATCGAAGCCGAACACGCGGTCCCGCAGCGTGTCAATGACTGTCCGCGGCAGCTTCAGATCCGGGGAAGGGAACTCCTGGTGATGGACGCACGCGGAGCACGAGGGAAGAGCGGATGGGGACGCGGAGAGAAGACCAGCCAAGGGGAATAGAGCCATTTCAGTTGAAAGGAAGAAGGAAGCGGGGAAGGGATGGAAGGACTGGCTTTCAATAGATGAAGGGGTGCAAGGAATTCAGGGCAGAAGCGTTCTCTCTTCAATTCTAGTGGTACAGATGTTCCTGCTGCTACTTCTGCTACTGCTGCTAATGCTGCTAGTTTGTTTTGCTACGAAGCTTCAACGTGGGACGACCCTCCTCGAGATAACGCCGCCACGGCTCACCGGTGGAGGCTCGGACGACAGCGGGTCGTCAATAGGGGGCGGAGAGGGAATGGGCGGAAGGGAGTCCGCGGACGGCGCCGGTTGTTGCTTCTCCTCGCCGCTCGACACGTCCTTCTTCTCTTCCCCTCCGTCGCTTCCTGACGCCATGCACCGCCATGAATGTCTCCTGGCAACGCTGCCGTTAATTCTGCTGCTGCTGCCGATGCTCCTGCTGCTGTTTCTTGACTTATGCAGCCGCAGCTGGTGTCTGGACGGAAACATACACGGCGGAGGAGCATCATACGGCAGACGGAGGAAGATATTGACATGGTAACTGAACATCCGAATATGACATGAAACGGGAGTACAGAAAGTAATGAAGGGTGAACTACGGAACGTTGGAGAACACTGAAATGAAGGGTGAATTCCGAATCTATAGTGGTTGCTAACGGACGGCGAGTAAGGACAATCGTTCGCACTGGTCAGACCTGAGCAGATGTACTCACAGATTTCAGGAGGAAATATTGAATGAATTCCAAGAATCTGGTAAGGCTTCGCGTGAGAATGGGATGAAGGATGCGAACCTTAGAGGCGAGAGACAAGCCGTTGCTGATGGGCGCAGAGGAGCGATAACAGGAGAGCTGGTTGCATGTGCGCATTGCGCATCGTAGAGGCCGCCAAATCGAACCGCTGAACCAGGCATTGCAGTCTCTAGGGCGCGAACGAGAGCCATTGTGAAGCTGACAAGAAACAGATACCCAATGTCAAATGTTGAATGGAATAGGATTGGATGGATCTGTGCCTACCTCCTTGACCTTCAAATCAAACCAACACCACGCAGTGTTCAGAACAATTGGAAACAAGGAAGCGGCGCGTTGTTCGCTTGAGAATGGCGGATGTGACACAACTGGGTCGGGTCAATCGACGGTGAAAAAAGGATCTGTGGCTGGGGTATGCGGGATCGGATGGCCAGAATACGTGGTGTGACTTGCGAAGGAAAAGGAAGGTTCGATGACACCCAGTCCACCTCGATTTTTGGGCCAAAGGAGGCAGCCAGGTTCGCAGTGACACAGTTCAGGTTCGAAGTTGAAAACAGGTCAATGCTGGGACGACACGTCAGTGCCAAAGGATCTACAGAAAATTCGGTGATGGTTCATCTAGCTCAACTCAATACACTGAAATCCAGTCAAACTCAGTGTCTTATGTTGATCTAAGCAATGAAACTAATGTTCCCCAATTACAACTGTTTCATAAGGGGGCTAACAAAAAACAACAAAAATGATGATATGTACTAAGTAGATTTACTATTATGCATTTCATAACAAAAAGAGAGTTTCAAATTTCTGTTAATCAGACCTACAAATGTTGAGGCACACGGTGTATGTTTAGACTTTTAGGTAGCTCTATAAACGTCGAAGCAGCTCAAACAGGGTACCGATATGGTTTGTTCGCGTGGCTTCCGCCCACCCCTTCGGGCCACGGCAAAAGCTAGGGTCCAGGCCGAAGTCCGCCGACGTTCGCGACCTCGTGAGCCCTTCCCAGTATCGATCCGCCCGCCAGGAACATCTGCTGGCTTTTCGAATGACCTCAGCATAGGGACTTGGCTGCTGATTAGTCAGGGATTGTCAGATGCGGTTACCCCAGGGTAGCTCGTCATAACCAGCGAAACAGGTAACATTTCTGCAAAAATATTCGACGAAGCTATTTCAGTGGCCTTCACTTTCGCACGAAGGAGTCTCCATCCACCCCCCGAACTGTTCTCGAGATTAGGGTGGCACCCTCACTCACAAGTCAGTAGCAGCACGGCAGAGTCACCTTAGGAGGCACAGATCACCACAGCACGGATACTTTCTCGAAATTCATATCGTCACACTAGGTGGCTGCGGATCTGTTGCTGTGTTTTCAGTGCCGTACGTTTCGTTTGCGATCAAGCTTCAACCATCCCCTAATACAATAGCAGTCATTTCACACCCGTCTTGAGGCACAATCCATAGGAAGCCCTCACTGCCTGTAGTAACTCGGGAGCCATGGAAAGTGTTATCGGGCTCGTCAATCGGCTACAACAGGTCTGTACAGCGCTAGGCGATCATGGCGGCGGCGACGAGACGGATTCAGCTCTCCCCACGCTGTGGGAGCAACTCCCGTCTGTGGCCGTGGTGGGAGGCCAGTCGTCCGGTAAATCCTCCGTGCTGGAGAGCATCGTGGGGAAGGATTTTTTGCCTAGAGGATCGGGAATTGTGACTCGGCGGCCGCTGGTGCTGCAGCTGCACAAGCAGGACGGTCCGGAATACGCGGAATTTATGCACGCGCAGGGGAAGAAAATGACGGACTTCAACTTGGTCCGGAAAGAGATTCAAGGTGCGGAGGAGAAGATTGTGGACGGCGTTTATATTTTGCAGCGAACTGCGTCATTGCTAGCTACTTACTCCTGTTATTCCAGATGTTAAATTTCTGTGTGCTTCTGTCATTTCCACTTGACCTGCTTCCCTCAAATGTTTTCTTGCTTGATTTGCGCCTGGTGGCTCGAGGCTGCGATGCCATTTCCGGTTATTGCTTACCGTCGTATTCGTACGCTCGCGGACCTTTCATCTCATCGGTCTTCCCTGCAACCGATATCACTCCGCTCCACTCCACTCGCTTTCTTCTCAACCGTCTTCCAAGTCGACTCAAAAGCCACTTCCGCTCCGTCCAATCCCCGTTCGCCGTAACCCTCCCGCGACCACCACCCAGACGAAACCGACCGCATAACGGGCAAGACGAAGGGCATTTCGTCGGTCCCCATCCACCTGAGCATCTACTCGCCGAACGTGATTGATCTTACGCTCGTGGATCTGCCGGGTCTCACCAAGATCGCGGTGGAAGGGCAGCACGAGAGCATCGTGGCGGAGATCGAGTCCATGGTGCGGAATTTCGTGGACAACCCGAACTGTATTATCCTCGCGATCTCGCCCGCCAATCAGGATCTCGCCACGTCGGACGCGATGAAGCTCGCGAGAGAGGTCGATCCGCAAGGTGAGATGGGTGGGGGGCGTGTGGGGGGATGGCTGTGAGAGCGAAAAGGGGGGGAAAGGGTTGGCGGAGTGAGGAGAGAGAGAGACCACAAGGTGGGGGGGGGGGAGAGGGGGTGTGGGTGCGCAGGGCGGAAAGCAGGGGGGAAAAGGTTGGGTGTGGTTGCGGTGGGTGGTGTGGACATGCGATTGTGAGGAGGAGGGCTCTAGTGTAGCAGAGGTGAGCATGCGAGTGCACTGTATTGACAGTCCAATTGTAAATGTCTGTGTGGGTGTATCTCTAGGGTTTCAGCAGACTCTATCTCTCATCACTCCCCCCCCCCCCCCTCCCTCCCCCACGCACAATTCTCCCTCCCTTCCTCTCTCCCTCCTTTCCTCTCTCCTTCCTGCCAGGTGATCGCACATGGGGTGTGTTGACCAAGCTAGATCTCATGGACAAGGGCACCAACGCCCTCGATGTACGTCCTCTCGCTGCCTTACCTCCTCTCCGCTTCTTCCCGTCGCTTCCTGCCCTACCTCGTCTCCACTTCTTCCCGTCGCTTCCTGCCCTACCTCGTCTCCACTCCCTCCCGTCGCCTTCTGCTTTGCTATGCAATGCTGGGTACTGCCACGCCACCTGTACCTGGATCCTAGCCCGATTGCGACCCGTTCCGATCAAATTTCTGACCTTCCTGTCTGGGCCACTTTTTTAGTCGACTTAAAGCATCCTGTTTCCAGTCTGCCCCCTCTGTGTTTAAAGTTAACGAGGCATGGTTGTAGTGGTGCCCCTTTCTTCCCATGCTGTTGTGTTTCATCGCTTCATCTGCCACAGCCCCCTTCTGTTTGGGCACCGCATACATTGCTCCCCTCCTTCTTTCCTGTCCATTCTTTCTCCACCCATTCTTTCACCTCTCACACACCCCTCTTCCTCCCCTTCCCCCGTTCCACCCGCACCTCTCCCGTCCTCCCCCTCCCCCTTCTCCCCCGGCCCGTCCCCTCTCTCCGCGTGGCAGATCCTGGAGGGGCGGACGTTCAAGCTGAAGAAGCCGTGGATCGGCGTGGTGAACCGGTCGCAGGCAGACATCAACCGCGCCGCCGACATGACGAGTGCGCGGCGGCGCGAGCGCGAGTTCTTCCAGACGTCCCCCGACTATGCGCACCTGGCATCGCGCATGGGCACTGAGTACCTGGCCAAGATGGTGTCCAAGCACCTTGAAGAAGTTATTAAGTCCCGTATTCCTGGCATCACGGTGAGTGTCTGGGCCAGTTTTCCTGGGGACGGAAGGGGAACAGTGGGGGGAATGGAGGAATGGGGGAGAAGGATGAGGGTGTTGCGTTGAAACTGATTATTTTGCAGCGGGTTTTGGGCGGCGAGACGGGAGCTGTGCAGGGTGGTGGCGGGAGGGACGTCATGTGATGTGGTTGTGAGGAGTGGAGGGCTGGGGTGATTGGGAGGGTTGGACAAGCGCACCTGGCGTCGCGCATGGGCACGGAGTACCTGGTTAAGATGGTGTCCAAGCACCTCGAGGAGGTTATTAAGTCCCATATCCCTGGCATCACGGTGAGTTCTTGGGCAGGCGAGAGGGAGGCGGTGTGGATGTGTGGTGTGGTGGGGAGGTGTGGGAGGGCAGGGAGAGCGGTGGGAGGGCAGGGAGAGCGGTGGGAGGGCAGGGAGAGCGGTGGGAGGGCAGGGAGAGCGCAACTGGCGTAACGCATGGGCACGGAGTACCTGGCCAAGATGGTGTCCAAGCACCTCGAGGAGGTCATCAAGTCGCGTATTCCTGGCATCACGGTGCGTGTGTCGGCCGGTATTAGGGGGAGGGTTTGGGGAGGACCAGAGGAAGAGGAGGGAAACTCAATGCTTCAAACGCACGCACCACCTCCCGCACCCGTCTGCGCCCCCATCCCCCCAGGCCCTGGTGAACAACAACATAGACGAGCTGGAGAAGGAGCTCATGGCGTTTGGCCGGCCGATCGGGGATGATGCGGGAGCGCAGCTGTACCAGGTGCTGGAGATGAGCCGCGCCTTCTACGACACCTTCCAGGACCACCTCGACGGGCGGCGCGCCGGTGGTGACCGCATCACGAGCGTGTTTGAGGACAAGCTGCCTGCTGCTCTCAAGAAGCTGCCGTTCGACAAGTACCTGAGCCTGCAGAGTGAGTGTCTAGAGTGGGTTGTGACCGCATGGGGTGGTGCTGTTCGCCTGCCCTGGCAATAAGCTGCCGGCTACACATTCTGCTCTCAAGAAGCTGCCGTTCAACAAGTACCTGAGCCTGCAGAGTGAGTCGCTAGAGCGGGGTGTGGAGATGTGTTGGTTGATGCCAAAGTCAACCAACACGGATGGGCAGCCTGAATCTAAGTAGCTCGGGCACCCCTCCCCTTTGCTGAAACGTCCTTCACGTCTGATACCCGAACTCCACTGCTCCCCCGCTCGCTTTCCCCTGCATCATCCGTCCCCTCTTCTCCTTCTCCCCCTGTCCCCCCTCCTCAGACGTGCGCAAGGTGGTGGCAGAGGCAGACGGGTACCAGCCGCATCTGATCGCCCCTGAGAATGGGTACCGGCGGCTGATAGAGGGCGCGCTGCTCATGTTCAAGGGGCCTGCTGAGGCCGTGGTGGATGAAGTGCACTTCATTCTCAGGTGGGGTGTGGGATGGGATGGCAAAGGGAGGGAACGGAAGTGGGGAATCTTGAGACGGTTGTGGGGCGGCTGATAGAGGGCGCGCTGCTCATGTTCAAGGGGCCTGCTGAGGCTGTGGTGGATGAAGTGCACTTCATCCTCAGGTGGGGTTTGGAGAGGTTAGGGAAGGGGGGGTTAGAGGGGGAGGGGGTGTGGGGTTGAGTAGGGGTCGAGAAAGGGGGGCTGGATGGGAGGGGAAGAGAGGGAGACGGGCTGCTCCCTCTATTCTCCTGTTTGTTTTGTCATTCATACTGTGTGCATTCCTCCCCTTACTTCAACATCTTGTGCTTGCTCATGTCCGCTCCTCTCCTCTACTTGCTCGCTGCAGAGATCTTGTGAAGGCTGCAATAGGGGAGACACAGCAGCTGCTGCGCTTCCCAACGCTCCAGGTAGGAAGGGCAAGCAGTGCTACAAGGCACAACATGCCATGTTACCACCACACCCATGATGGAAACGTCCTTCCTCACTCTCGACTTCATCCCCCGCCTGCCCCCGTGCTGCCACCCCTCCCTTGCTCTATGTTGGAAAATACGCGCATGGCGTATCAGTCGCGTACGTACTATACGCTACCGTACGTACGTGATACGCCGGATTGGCAGTTTTAAAAACGCTCAGAATTCGCTGTGTCGGTCAGACAAAAAAAAACTCCGGGCAGAGAAAAAACACTTCGGCGGAGGTAGAATGTCTAAGGGGATGATTACTTCAGCAATACTTTCAGATGCGGATTACTCCCTTGTAGTTCTCGCGATTAGGATCTCTGAAATGTCAGATATTTGTTGGCTAAAGTCGCCCTGAAATTGCGGCTGTAAAGACCTGGCAAGCTATGCGACGTTACTCCACTGCTAGCAATAGCAGGTGCGACATTAGCGGTCGACATAGCTATTCAAAGCTAAACTACGAGTTAAGAAGGGACGTAGAATATAAGAGGCGTGAGACAAAGTGAGATTAAGAAAGTCTCCTCTAGCTCATGTACGCACGCCGACGTGAAAGGTTGGGAACGGAAAGGTTGGGTTTGGGAGGTGGTGTGGGGTGATGTGCGGTGGAGGGGAGGGGAGGGAGGGGGGGGCATCGACTTTCGAAACTCAAAATTAGGTTTCACGGAATCGCAGATCGCGGAATAAGCGGCAACAAAATTTTTTCCGGGCTGCCCAACGAAACGTATCACGTATTACGGAACGTATCACGTTTTTCCGTATATACGTTATCGTATAAACGTGATACGCATCGACGCCCAAGCGTTTTTTTCCAACATAGCCCTTGCTCCCGCACTCATCACTCCCCTCTACCCTGTGCCACCCCGTCTCTACCCCTGCCCGCCCCTGCTCTCCCATTTCCCCTGCTTCTTCGCTTCCCCTTCCCCTGTTTCCCTCCACCCCACCGTGCCCCTGCTTCAACCTCCCAGGCCCAGCTGCTGGCAGCGGCATCAGCGGCGTTGGAGGTGTTTCGGGAGGAGAGTCGGCGCACAGCAGTGACCATGGTGGAGATGGAGACGTCCTTCCTCACCGTCGACTTCATCCGCCGCCTGCCGCAAATGGACGACGCGCCGCCGCCCAAGCGCGGGGACTTTGTCCCGCAGGGCGCCGACCGGTACAACCGAGATCCACCTGCGGCGCATCGGCAGCAACGTGTCGCAGTATGTGACATTCGTGATGGAGGCGTTGAGGAACTCCATTCCCAAGGCTGTTGTCCACTGCCAGGTGCGTATGTGCGAGGTGCTCCAACAGCAGACTGGTACAACCTGCGGCGCATCGGCAGCAACGTGTCGCAGTATGTGACATTCGTGATGGAGGCGTTGAGGAACTCCATTCCCAAGGCTGTTGTCCACTGCCAGGTGCGTATGTGCGAGGTGCTCCAACAGCAGACTGGTACAACCTGCGGCGCATCGGCAGCAACGTGTCGCAGTATGTGACATTCGTGATGGAGGCGTTGAGGAACTCCATTCCCAAGGCTGTTGTCCACTGCCAGGTGCGTATGTGCGAGGTGCTCCAACAGCAGACTGGTACAACCTGCGGCGCATCAGCAGCAACGTGTCGCAGTATGTGACATTCGTGATGGAGGCGTTGAGGAACTCCATTCCCAAGGCTGTCGTGCATTGCCAGGTGCGTTTCCATGATCCCCAACATGTCTCATGCATCGTGCTGTGCCACGAATATAGGGAGGCATGGAAACAGCAAGTACAACATACAAACTTATCCGCTATCCCCCACTTCCTGTGACCCGTCCACATCTCCTTCCAACCCAAGCCATCCCTCCCCTCTGCCTCTCCGTCTTCTCGGTGTGCTCTTGTCCCCTCCCTCCCCCCCTTTTACAGGTGCGGGAGGCGAAGCGCACGCTGCTGGACGCGTTCTACACGCAGGTGGGCAACGAGGAGGGCAAGCAGCTGTCGAAGCTGCTGGACGAGGACCCCGCGCTCATGGCCCGCCGGCAGGCCCTCAGCAAACGCCTGGAACTGCTCCGACGGGCACGGTCCGAGATTGACAGCGTGGGCTGGGCCAGCCGGTGATGAGGCGAGGCTAGTGAAGAAGAGGGGAGGGGAGACAAAGGGAGGACAGGGAGTGCGGGTTGGGAGATGGGGATGGAAGGGTGCGGATGGGAGGGGTTCGATTTGGACAGGATTGGAGGGTTGGTTGGTCGTAGCAGTGGGGACAGAGGGTTTTTTGGGTGTGAAGATGTTTTTTGAACATGGGAACTTTGCCACTGACAAGAGATGGGTGGTGGGCAGAAGTGAAGTTAGCAAATGCGGCTGTAGCTAATAATGCCTGGAGTGCGTACTGGACCTACATGAGTACAGATGGTAGTGTGGGATTTACTTGATTGTTGTGAGTTGTATCTTCAACAACACTGTACTGTGCATGATTCATATTGCCAGTTTGTAGGTTGTAGTGCTGCCACTTTACTCACTCCAGAGCTGTTTCAGATTGAAAATCAAGCACTTGTTCATAACAACTTGGCGTCATGTCTGTTCTGACAGCAGGGCCCAGCAATGTCAATAATATTTATTCAGAATAGGAAACTTATAAGTATTACACCCATATTCACGTAGCACATGAATCAGCAGCATGGGTTGGAAAAGAAAGAAAGCAGATTGAGGTTGGATGTTTTGCCTCTATTCACAGCACCCTCTAAACCCCCCCATCCTGTAATTTCCTCTCGTCATCGTTTTTGCTTGCTTCCTGCTGTCAGCAGAGTGAAGGCTTCAGGCGACAAGTACTTCCACCACCGCACTGCACAGTCTTCTTCCTTTGGACCGCAAAGAGCATTAGGAGGCTCGCCTACTGGCCTCACCCGGGGTCCCTTCCAAGGCTTGAACTTGCCATTGAAGTGGAGAATCTTGGCCTCGTCGGCCCAAGGGCTAAGGAAGGGGGTCTTGTTGGGCTTTCCAAGCCCCATGCGCTCGAAGTACGCCATTTCCTTCTTTCCAAACTTTTCCCGACCCAAGCCTCGTGTGTTCCACTCCCGCTTCAGCTTGCGGTAGCGGTCATACAAGGTGAGGAGAAAGGGTGGTTGAGATAACCCGTAGCTGAGGGAGGGCGAGTTGGCAAATAAATTGTTACGGAATGGTGAGGAATTAAGAAGTGCAAACGTAAAAAGGTCAACGACGTTACAGCAGCGGAAAGTGAGGCATACTCTTACCGGTACAATGGCTCTTTGGCATCATTGTGCTGCTGCATCCACCACTCAATGGATTCAGTCATGTTCTGAGCTATCCACTGCTGCACGTCCATAACCAGCACTCCTCTGTTGAAGACACATGCTGTCTTATCAAAGGGGAATTTAGGCATCCGCGGCTGGTCAGGTTTCTTCCGCGCATGGATTTCGGCTAGTTGGTTAAAATCAAAGTACTGGTCGAATGTCTGCATGCAGTCCTCCACTGCTGCTGCTGCCATGCCGCCCATGTCAACATGAGCCAATTCCGCAATGTCGCCCTGCGGTACATTCAGGACATTGTTTAATCCGTAAGCAGGTAAAGACGGGATAAACAGCTGAAGGAAAAGCTTGTGAGAGGATTAATCGCAGACAGCGAGATCTGAAGGAATAGCTCTACGTACCACAACAACAACGTCTGAGTCCAGGTACACAATGCGGTCGAGGTCCTGAGCGATGAGCGGAAGATAGAATGGCAAGAAATTAAAAACGCTAACCAGCTCCTCCCTCGCCTTGCTCCCTTCCTTGTACACAATGAGGTGCTGGATACGCTCGCGGTCAATGGGTTTTCTGAGAAAGGAAATGACACATGAAGATCAGAAAACTATGCCTTTCGGACTCCCATGTGATAGTGAGATGCATACTGCACGCAAAACTAGATGATTCTAGCTTGAGTGAACCAACGACATACCTGTTAATATCGATCCTAACATGCGGGAAAAGGGGAAGAATCTTTTCTTCGACTGCGATAATATTCTCCTCAGGTATCACCAGATGGAAAAACACCAGGTGCGGGTTCCTGGTTTGGATCCAAGGAAAATGGTAAGTATTATAATGCTTTGGGTGTAAATTCAGCAGGAATGCTGGAATGGGTCAGGTGAGAAGGCAAATTTCTGAGTAGGACGAATGCAGCAACTTGCCTTGTGTTCATGATAGTTGAGTTGATGACAACGGCGATCGGGCGTAAGTCCGCTTCGTCGGTCGAAACGAACACGTGGACGTCCTTCAGCTCAGACGGCGAAGGCGTTGCTTCATCGCCGCTTGAATCTGCAGGTTTCACATCGTCGTTGTTGCTTTTTAACGCGTTCTCAGATATCTCGGCAGTCTCTGCATCGGAGTTCCTCACGCTGTGGTCGACCCCCTCAGGAGCAGTAACTTCTTGAATCTGTGCTCCTTGCCGTTGATGCTGCTCCTGGCTTGTGCTCTGCTGCTGACCAAAATCTGACGTTGAATGCACAGCCAGGGTGCTTCGAGAAATCATGTCGGCTCTCTGTTGCACTCGCCTCGTAACAACGCCTCCCCCTGAAGTGGTTAGACTGATTGACACCGCGCTGGGATTCAGTCCTTCGGAAGCCAGCATTACCGAGTTTTGTCGATGCGTGCTCGCCATGGACAGCTTCGTCGCCATTCTCAGGAACGAAAGCTGGACGTCTTGAGGGGTGATGCCATGAAGCAGCATGTGAAGGAGAAGGAATATGCAGCTGATCAGGACACC